CCTTGCCCTCCTTCTCCTCCCCCTTCTTCTTCTCCTGATTTTGGTTTTTAAGTATGTAATTAATTTTAAAACTTAAAAAGTGTTAGAATATTGAGTATTAACACTGACATGGCCTTCATATGTGATTTTAAATTAGGGACCGATTTGGAGCTTTGTGCTACAGTGTCCTTCTTGACTACGCCTTCACTGGGGATCACAGGGTTTCTGGGTAAGGCCTTGGCCCACCCTGGCTGCCTCCTGCACTAGAGCTCACGCTCAGTGATTGTGTGCTGTGCCAAGGAAAGGCTCTCTGCCAAGTTGGTGCCTGGCCAGGAGCAGAGGGGAGGAGAGAGAGATGGGTAGGGTGAAGGAAGGTACAGATGATGGCTCCCTCCCAGTTCTTGCTAATCCTTGTCCGTTAGCTGTGATGCCTCCTCTGGTCTCACCTGGCCAGTTAAGCTGTACCCTGTGACTGACGGTTCTCTAGGACGATGCTCTTGCAGTCCTTGGGGGACATTTTTGGCACAGTGTTGGGGTATGGAATTGTGTGTATGTATATTGTAAGGGAATCTGGTAGTTTATCCTGCTAAAATGCACCCTTTTCTAACTCTGTTTCAGACTCTGCTAACACCAGATAGTAGAAAGAAAGTGTGTGCTGAAATGTTTGACGACACTGATGGTTTGGTAAGTGATGGCGTCTGCCTGAGAGCCATGGTTCCTTTTGGAATTGGCTCTTCAGAAGGTCTTGTCCCGGTGTTCCAGCCCTCAGTCAGCAGCGATGCCTGTTCACCGTGTGACCTGCCGGGCAGGTGTCTGGAGAGTGAGGGAGGAAGGCCTGTCTCCGGAAGCTCAGGTGGTTCTGCCTGGAGTGGTCAGGGTCTGTTTAGGGGATGCGGCTGTAGAGGAAGTCAGAGTGGGTGGGGGCAGGGCAGGCAATGAGCAAGGCGATGCTGGGTGTGGCTTGTTTGGTGGTGAGCCCAGTGCCCAGCCTTAGTACTGGCTTCCCTGGCAGGAAGGGAAGGGCCCCAGTTGAGGAGGTGCCCCTGCCTAGACTGTCCCCTGAAGACTGGTACGCCTAGGAGTTCATATTGGGTTGTTGAAGGTGGTCTTTCACCCAGCCTTAGGGGTCTTCGGGAGCCAGTGGGCAGTTGCTTCTCTTCTGTCCACTAACTCACACCCCCCATGCCCCATGTTCAGGGAGGTCTGGGGAAGACAGTGGCTTGGGCTGGGGTGAGGTGGACAGGGACAGCTCCCCGGGCTGCCGCACCCTTGCTCCCACCCCGTCCTTCAAATGTTCAGAGTGGAAGAAGGGTCTCCTTGTTGTCTGAGATTCCAGAGCACCAGGCCACACGGGCCCTGCCACAGGCAGCATGTGGGTGCGAGTCCACATGTCATGGCAACCCTAGAGGGCACTGGGGCCCTCCCTGTCATGGATGAGGCCATGGAGGCACAGCGTGATGAACTGATGTGGTTGTAGGCTATGACCCAGGCCACCCATTTTCTCTGGCCCTGTCCCCACCCCCTCCCAACTGTTGGGATGGGGCTGCCCGCCCTATAGGGCTGCTGGGCCACAGGCTGGCCCGCCACTTCATGGGTTCAGTTTCCTTCTCTGTAAATGTGAAGAGGCACAGCCACCCTGGCAGCTTCCTCGAGGGGCGGGGCTTCCTCACCTGTGCTGGGCACACGCCTGGGCGGAGTCCTGTGCCAGGGCCCCAGTGGGTCAGCTTGGGGCTGGGGGTGCTGTGGCATGGCTGTGCCTTTCTGCCACCCTGAGGGTGGCCTGGGCTGGCACAGAACATGTCCTTGTGCTGTGCAGGATTGTAGGCTCCGGGGGCTCACCCTGTGCAGAATGCCGCCCTCAGCCTCACACCCTGCCGTCACCATGGGGCACCGACTTCAGTTTGATACTCTTACTAGGCGTGGGAGGTGCCCTCGGTAGCCCAGGAGGGACCGTCTTTGGCTCAGCAGCCACCTGTGCAGGTCTCTCGTTTCCAGCTTGTTTACGTGCTCAGATGTAACCGGAAGAGAAGAGGTCATCAGAAGAAGCTGCTCTGTTTGATTTGGTGGAGGGCCCACCTGTCCAGGGCCCCCAAGGCCCACTCCTGCTAGATCTGGTGTGGAAATAGAGTAGGAAGTGAAAATCTTGGGGGGCTGACCCCGTCAGCCACACCAAGCTGGGGGAGCCTCAGCTACTTCTACACCACCTTCTGTGGCCACTCCTGGAGATGTGGATTAAAGGTTGATGCAGGCGTGTCTGTGTTAGAAGGTGTTTCCAGATGTGACTTCAGCTGTAAGAAGCAGGACATGTAAGTCCTTGTGTCCCCTTTAGAAAGCCAGGTTGTGACTCCTACTGCCTCAGGGGTGCCTCGGCCCTCCTGGTCCTGCCCAGCCTGGGATCTTCCTGGCTGCAGCTTTCACATCATAGATAGTCTCCATACACAAGACCATCTGCAAAGGACATACTGAAGATTAAGACATACATCCTATCGAGACCATCCTGGCTAACACGGTGAAACCCCGTCTCTACTACAAATATAAAAAATTAGCCGGGTGTGGTGGCCGGCACCTGTAGTCCCAGCTACTTGGGAGGCTGAGGCAGGAGAATGGCATGAACCCGGGAGGTGGAGCTTGCAGTGAGCCGAGATCACGCCACTGCACTCCAGCCTGGGTGACAGAGCGAGACTCCGTCTCAAAAAAAAAAAAAAAAAAAAAAAAAAAGACATATATTCTAGAACTTGGGTTGAAGTGGAAGCAAAAATAACTTTTAAGGGACTTTTCCCAGCGTGAAGTGGCTCATATAAGCAGCTTTGCCGCCCTTTGGGTGGGGACAAAGCAGGCACTGTGGTTCCCAGTGTCACTGTGAGCCAGGCCCTCTGATGCTGGGTCCTGGAGAGAGGACAGTCTCCACAGGAACCTGACCGTCAGGGCTGTGTGTCCACCCAGCGAGGGCTGGGACTAGATGGTTCCGGAAATCCTGGCTTAGATTGGTATAGGGTGCTGGGGTCCTTACTGCAGGCCTGTTGGACATGACTGGGAACACAGCCTGGGGGCCATCGGCTTCCAGCAGCTTCCCCCAGAAGCATGGGTATAACAGGCAGCAAAGGGCTCTGCGTCCTCAGAGGAGGGAGCACAGGTTGGCTTGGACATCTGTAGTGGGGAGCCAGAGAGCCACAGGATACAATGCTATGTCTTGCTTGTGATTTCTTAGACCCAAACTCTTACACTTGCATGTGCTTATGGGGAGTTGAGTGCAGAAAGTGAATTCCTTTGGGTTTGGTTGTTGTTTTGATACCACCTGCATTTAAGCTCTTCCTTCTTAATTTCAAACAACCCTGTAGTCTTTATAAAGTGCACTGTGTGGGTGCTGCCCAGCCTCCCTAGGGTCTGAGTGTGCCCCACTGCTTGGAGGCAGGGCTGCTTCACCTGCGCTGGGATGGAGCCCTGTTCATAGGAGCTGGGCTTTATTTTTAGCAGGTACAGTTCCATGTCTCACAGAGCTGAGAGCAGAAAGACTGCAGATTTAATTAAATGACACTGAAAGGGGAGGTAATTACTTCTGCATGTTTCAGGAGGCCCCGGAGGGTGTCCCAGGTCCTCTGCTGCAGCCCTGTGAGGCTGTTACCTGGAAAACGCCCAGGACCCCATCCCTGATGGGCACTCAGCGTCCTGGGCATTGCTCTAATGATGAACGATGTGAGCTTTCTTCTCTGAAGCCTGGCTTTGGAGATAAGCCATGCAATCTAGAGACAGTGCAGCAGGTCACTGCAGAGGAAGCATGGTCAAGCTCTGCGTCCCAAAGCTGCTTTAACAGGACAGGACACCGGGCGTGGTGGCTCATGCCTGTAATCCCAGCACTTTGGGAGGCTGAGGCGGGTGGATCATCTCAGGTTGGGAGTTCGAGACCAATCTGGCCAACATAGCAAAACCCCCGTCTCTACTAGCGGGGCATGATGGCTCATGTCTGTAATCTCAGCCACTTGGGAGGCTGAGGCAGGAGAATCGCTTGAAACCAGCAGGCGGAGGTTGTAGTGAGCTGAGATCGCGCCATGGCACTCCAGCCTGGGCGACAGACTGAAAAGACTGGGCACAGTGGCTCATGCCTGTAATTCCAGCACTTTGGGAGGCTAAGGCTGGCGGATCACAAGGTCGGGAGATCAAGACCATCATGGCTAACATGGTGAAACCTCATCTCTACTAAAAATACAAAAAATTAGCCGGGCGTGGTAGCGGGTGCCTGTAGTCCCAGCTACTCAGGAGGCTGAGGCAGGAGAATGGCGTGAACCCAGGAGGCAGAGCTTGTAGTGCCGAGATCGCGCCACTGCACTCCAGCCTGGGCGACAGTTTTTTGAGACTCCATCTCAAAAAACAAAAAACAAAACAAAACAAAACAAAAAAACAGGTCAGGACATGTAGGGTACTAGCACCATCCAGCTGCCTCCTGCACACAGGAAGGGCCAGCGGCCAAGGGTTCATTTATAGTAACCAGAAGCTTCCACACCCTCAACACACTCAGATCCATAGCACCTCCTCCTACCAGTGGCTGTGTGGGTGGTACTGCCTCCCTATGCCTCATAGGGTCCCTGTTCAGTATCCTAGCTGGACACCACGCCTGACACGGAGCACCAGAAGTGTGACTGATCAGAGCCGAGATACCTCCAGCAGTTACAGAGAGTTTGCACACAGAAGGCAAGATGCACTCCCTTGTTCATGACCTGCGTGCATGACATGCAGAAGGAGTGTATTTTGGATGTGTATTGGGTTAGATAAAATATATGACTAAAGCAAACTTAGTCTTTTTTTTAATGAGCAAATCCAGATTTATTTTAATGTCATGTCATTGTCAATGTGTTTAAAAACCTCATAAGTTAGTGGGAGCCCTAGTTTCCTGGGATGGCATGCCAGAGGTACTGAAATTTGTCGCCTTTCTCTACAAACCCCCAGCAATCCAATCCAAGTCCGTAGCTTCAGAAAGCCAGGAGTCATATCTTCAGTCAGTCTACTCCTCTGGTTCTCGGTTTTTCTTTCAAGGGAGGGAGATCACAGTGTTTCAAACAGGGAACAAAACCAGTTGAGCTTCCAGCTCAGGTTTGTGTAAGATGGAGCGAGGGGAGACCCACTCCAGAGAAAAGGGTAAGGTGGAGATGGATTATTTCTCTACAGCTTTGTGAAAATGGAAGAAAAAAGATTGACAAATGAGGATCCATTTCATAGATGAGAATCACTTCATAAATGAAGGCTCCAGCTCCTAAAATGGGAGGGGCCTGACTGGACAGCCTGAATCAGATGAGGAGTCGGCCACACTGAATAAAAACAATCTGAAAAATAATCCTTCTAATTTTGAAGCCAGATAAAATACTTGGGGAGAATGGAAAAGAGAGGAAAAAGCCCCAAACAGATGGAAAAATGCTGACGTCAGAGTAGTATAAAAAAATTCAACCGAGTTTTCGGTGGTGGTGGCTAATTTAGCCCAGTTCTGTTGTAGGGTCACAAACTTTGACCAAGCACAGAGTAGTAGAAAAGGCTAGAAAGAGGGGCTTGAAGACGATGAATTTTGACTCCTGATTTTATTATTTAATTTCTTTTTTTCATTTAAAGTAGTCTTCTGTAGTTGGGAAGCCTCGCCTCCCAAGACCAGAGTCAGATGCTGGTTGTTGTTGGAAGGGGGTGGGCTGGGGAACTGGGGTGGGGGCAGGGAGACCCCCGCTCTGCTGGCGGTCCTAGGTGGAGAAGAACTGCACTTCACAGAGTCTGGGGTGTGGTGGGAAGGGGATGAGGCAGGAGCAGCAAGCTGGGGAGATGGGACCCACCTAGGTCCCCAGCTTGGTTTTCTTCTAATGTTTCCCCAGTGGTGGCATTCTCTGCAGTCTTGGAGGCCTTCTTTTTTTTCTTTTTCTGGGTTTTTCGACTTGCAGAATTCTGGAGGAGGGTCTTTAGCTCTGCATCCTGGACCTCCATCTCAGACTTATGGGGGTCAGGCTGGAAGGGACCACTGGTTATCTGCATGGGGCCACTGGGCATGAGCAGAACTGTAAATTTAAACTGGGCAGCAAATTCCCCCTCCTTCTCATAGAGAACATTAAAGGGTTGCAGCAGTCCATGCTTGGGGCGCTCCACCACACCCATCCGAGCCTTCTTCTCATCTTCAAATGCTCGGAAAGTAAACGGCGTAGCATCAAAATGCCTTTCCATCTCACCGAAGAAGGCACGTCAGGTTTTCATTTTCAGTCCATACTGTTTGGAGGGGTCTCGTTTGTAAATAGTGGTTCTCTGTCCTGCATCCTTGGCCTTTCCCTCTCCTGAGCTGATGAGAACATCCACAGCATATACTTCATGTACCTCAAATTCAGCTTTTTCACGGTCCTTCTTCTGCTGGTCTGTGGGATTCTGAGTAATGGTTTTTTCTCCATCGATGACATGCTGCTTCAACTGGTGTGACAGGCGTACCTTCTGTTGGCGTGCAGTTAAATGAGTGGGCAACTTTGTTCCCGGTTTCTGTCACTTGTGTGTTCTGATTTCCAGGTTTGACCAGGCATAGGGCACCTTCAGCACAATGGTGAGCTGCCTTAATAACATCTGCTTTCCTTCCTGTTATTTGGGTCCCCTGAGCTACGTCAACCACAAAAGTATGAGCTACATTAGCGGTGAAGCCGTCTGCATGGACCCCAAGGTCAATTTTTACCAAGTCACCTTCCTTGAGAATGTAATCCTGGCCGCTCTTCAAAGGGGAGAAGTGACATACACCGTTATTTACCGAAATGCTGGTGGGAAAAGCAATACGTTTCTTCCTTTTCCTTTTTTTTTTTTTTTTTTTTTTGAGCCGGAGTCTCTCTGTCTCCCCCAGTCTGGAGTGCAGCCGCACGGTCTCGGCTCCCTGCAAGCTCCGCCTCCAGGGTTCACGCCATTCTCCTGCCTCAGCCTCCCGAGTAGCTGGGACTGCAGGTGTCCGCCACCACGCCCGGCTAATTTTTTTGTATTTTTAGTAGAGATGAGGTTTCACCATGTTAGCCAGGATGGTCTCGATCTCCTGACCTTGTGATCTACCCATCTCGGCCTCCCAAAGTGCTGGGATTACAGGCATGAGCCACTGCGACCGGTTCTTCATATCCTTTTCTTTCTTGAAGATTTTCCCTGTTTCTTGCGTAATGGTGGCACCACCTTTCTCACTGAGGCACTGACACACCTGAGCTAGATGCTTCCACCAAGGACCGAAGTGCCCTGTTGGTGATGTCGCCCCCCATCTTCTACCTGGTCATGACCAGGTCCTCGGCGATAGTTTGCTCCTGCTGCTTGTCCTCGCCTGACATCTTCCTGCCACCACCACTGCAGCCTCGTTTCCCCTGAGCCGCTGCTCTGCCTCCCTTCCCAGTCGCAGGCTGTGGTTAGAGCTCCCTCGATCCTCGAGGAGAGGGCGAGCAAAAGCCACAAACTTAGTGTTTTAGCGTGACTTCTGGGAACATCTGAAATTATACCTGTGGCTTGCCTGGTAGGTGTAGGATCTAAACTGTTCTTTGGTGCCCTTGGATTTGACTTCCTCTCCTGTCCAGGCCCCGCCCCTGTAGTTGGGAGCTAGTGACTTGTAACAACCATATCAGGCTTTGAAAGTGTTTTTAGCCAGCTTTAAGTGCTATCATTTTGCATTTATGCAGACAATTACAAAATAGCCTGCTGGGCCTTACCAAATAGCCCGGTTTCACCACTGAGATTGTACGTCTGCAGGGCTCCCTGGCCTGTGCTTTCAGTGAGCACACCCATCCCCAAAAGGCCCCGCGCTATCTGGGCTTCTGTCTCCCTTGTTTTCTGTGGGTAAGACTTACACAGTGGATTTGCCGCTGATTTTCCGTGTCCCAGCTGTACCCTGAATGCATCAACGGGCATGCTCAGCCTGCAGGTCAGTGATGGCTTGTGATGAGCCCCATCCTGCCTTCCCGTGGGAGGAGGGTCCCCACGTAACCCTTTCATGTCCTGACCTGCACTTGCTTTGGCAGTCCCTGGGGTCCCACTGAGGGGCTGCTATTTATGCAGCTGCAGGACACACGCTAGAGTCCTGGGAAAAGCCCCTCAGGCACTCCCACATCTGGCCAGGCTATTTATATCCCTCAAAAGGGCCCATTTTTCTTTGCAGAGAGTGAACATGTGGGCAATGCTGTCATGCCCGCCAGTGGAGTCCGTGAAACAAGCCCTTTCATTGAATAGCTTTCTGGGTGCGTCTGACACGTTCTCATCCATGTGCAGAGGCCTCGCGGTTTTACGCCTTCTCTGCTGCCATTGTGTGGATCACTGCTCCTCAGAGTGCAGGCGGACTGTGGCCCCCATAGCAGCCTGTTCCTGGTGCTGGGGGTCCTGGCTGGTCTGGATAGGCATACCTTGCCTCCCTGTCCCTATCCCACATCGCCCAGGGGAGAGTGGGTCCTCCATGGCCTGCCATGCCACAGGTCACTGAGCTCCTGCCCTGGATCCCATATGCCTGGGCAGTGGGGCGTCAGCAGAGGAAATAGTAGTCTACTATGGGGGCAGACAGACCCCAAAGGAGATCAATGGGCCAGGTATGATTGAAGTTATAAGGGGGAAAAATAAAGCAGAAAAAGATGCCAGGAGCAATGGCTTACTCTTGTCATCCCAGCACTTTGATAGGCCGAGATGGGAGGATCACTTGCGGCCAGGAGTTTGAGACCAGCCTGGGCAACATAGTGAGACCCCCATCTCTATAAAAATATAGAAAATTAGCCAGGCATGGTGAAATGCACCTGTAGGCCCAGCTACTCAGGAGGCTGAGGTGGGAGCATGATTTAAGCCCAGGAATTCTAGGCTGCAGTGAGCTATGATCACACCACTGCACGCCAGCCTGGGTGACAGAGCAAGACTCTATGCAAATAAATACATCTAAATAAAATACAAATAAATAAATACATAAAGCAGAGAAAGAGATGAGATAGGCTCTATAAGGGGAGTTGGGCTAATTGATGGAGCCACGGCTGGCGCCATGCCTGTGCCTGGGGAGGAGCACCGTATGCACGGGGAGCACTGAAGTGGAGGTGGAGAGGGCAGTGGGCCGAGGCAGAATCAGGAAGGACAGGGGCAGGAGAGGACGTGGTGGGTTGGGGAGGTTGAGGGGGGTTGGGGAAGACCTCTGGCTTCTGAGGAAAATGGGCCATGGTGGGGGTGCCGGGCACCTGGTTAGGAGGCCGTGAGGTGGTCTGGGAGAGCGGTGCTGGTGTGGGCATGGTGCAGCAGTGTCGATGAGGAGTGGCTCCCTTTGGTGCTTATTTGGAGGTGCACCAGGAGGACTTGCTGCCAGCTTGGATCTGGGGTGGGTCATGGTGTGGGTCGGGGAGCACAGAATGCCCTGGGGTTTGGCCTGAGCCGTAGGAACGATGGAGGCTCCACGTGGGCTTCTGCCTGGGCTCTCTCGGAGACGTCTCAGCTTTGGGGAGGTGAGGAGCATGGTTTGGGGACACGGGAAGCTTGAGGTGCTTATTAGTGGGGAGGAGGCTGTGGGGTACCTAAGCCTGGAGTCGAGGAGACATCTGAGGACTAGCCCGGGGGTTAGTCCTGACCGGAGCTGGGGCACGGAGCCCTCCCAGGGCAGGCCCCCTCAGAATGCCCTCGCTCCTTCGCTGTCAGGTAGGGATGTGTCTGAACCTGCTCTTGCTGCCTGCTGGCCTGCAAGGGTCACAAGGAGAGACCAGCCTTCGGGGGCCTCTGTCGAGATTGGAAGGACAGATAGGCAGCGTGCGAGGAGGGTCGGGATTTGGACTGGCTGTCGGCTGCGGTGGGAGAGATGGTCTGGGCCTGGGAGGTGAGATGGACAGACTCGAAAGGATAGGACACATGGCAGGGCTCGGAAGGGAAGGCATCTGGGGAATTGAGGGTCTCCTCTTATCTCTGCAGTCTTTGGGGGCAGCACCTATCCCACAGGGGCACGCCCAGCTGAGACTTCGAGTCCTCTGAGCTGGACGTAGTGTGAGCAGGGAGCCCGCCTGAGGCCTGGGTGCAGCGTGGCATGGGGAGTGGAAGGTGCATCCTGAGGGGAGGCACCTTCCTCCCCCGCCAGCGTGCCTGGCGCACAACCCCCCTCCCACGCCTCAGTCTCCTGCTGCTGCTGCCTTGTTTTAGAAGGTGCGGCCTCCAGGGTCCAGGATGACCCACACCCCTGCCGAGAGGAAGTGGCTGCTCCTTTGTGCGGGGAGCCTCGGAGCCCTGGAGAAGTCCTGTGAGGCAGCCTACCCTCTCTGCCCTCCTTGGTGGCCCGAGAGAGGCCCCGTGGTGTTCATCATGGGGACGGGATGGTGTGTCTTGTTTTCTTTAGCCCATGTTGAGTAGGGTGGGGTCATAGCCTTGCAGCAGGCCCTGTTCAGAGCCACTCAGTCAGTGTCAGGGTGTTTTTGTTCTTTGGTTTTGCCCCTTGTGGTAGGACAAATGATGGCCCCCGAAAATGCCAGGTTCTAGCCCCTGGAGCCTGAGAGGGTGACTTTAGATAGAGCGTTAGAGTCTGCAGATGGGACCAAGTTGAGGATCTCGAGGTGGGGAGATGATTCTGGATTATCTGCTGGGCCTCAAGTACACTCAAAAGTGTTCTTCTCAGAGGCAGCAGAGGGAGATTAGACACAGAGGGCCCAGAGGCCACAGTAGTGGTGGGTGTGGGATGGATTTTATCTGCCAATTGGGCTGGGCCTCGGGGCGCCCAGATAAGTGGTCAGGTGCCATTCTGGGTGTCTGTGTGGGTATTTCTGGGTGAGGTTGACATGAGAATCGGTAGACTAAGGAAAGCCGTGGCCCGGGAGGCAGGATGGACAGACCCGCAGGGATAGAACACGTGGCAAGGCCTGGAAGGGAGGGGGTCCGGGACATGAGGGTCTCGTCTCATCTCCTGCTGGGGGTGCAGTGCTTGTCCTGCATGGCACCCCCAGCTGAGCCTACGGAGACCTCTGAGTTGGACGCAGAGGCTGGGAGCATGGGTAGGGAACTCGCCTGAGGCCTGGGCATGGTGTGCAAAGTAGAAGGTGGGGTAGGAGGTGGCCCTTCCCAAAGTGAGTCGGCCTCACCCAATCCGTCGAAGTCCTCCATAGAACAAAAAGACCCGGCTCCCCGAGTCAGAGGGGAGTTCGCCTGCCTGACTGCCTATGAACGGAAGCTTCACAGGGTCTCCAGCTTGTGGATGACAGATCCATAATCACGTGAGCCGAGCGCATAATAAATCTCTCTCTCTCCCTGTGCACATGCTGTTGGTTCTGCTTCTCTGGAGAACGCTGACTAACCAAGGAACCACAAACCAAGCAACGCTGCTGCCACCAGAAGCTGGAAGAGGCCGGGAAGGGAGTCTCCCCTGGGGCCTCCAGAGAGCGCATGGCCCTGCTGACACCCCGATTTTGGTCAGTGAAACTGATCTCAGCATTCTGGCCTGCAGAACGTGAGGGAATACACTTCTGTTGTAAGCCGTCCAGTTTGTGGTCACTGGTGAGAGCTGCCGCCCGAAAACCATACAGGCAATGTAAACAGCGCTTCCGTGAATACCCTGGCCGTGCTCTGGAGCTGTCATTCAGTGCACGGGTTTCAGGGAGCAGCACTTATGGTCCAAAGAGCTGTGTCTCTTCATTGTAATAGATCTTGCAAGATCCGTTTCTGAAAAGATCCAACAGTTCATCGTTCCCTGTGAGTGCGGGGAGCTCCCTGTTCCAGCACCCTCTCTCGGCGGTGGCATGAGACACTATAGACCGACTTGTCAGTGTTCGGGGCAGAGTGACAGCTTTGTGGCCTTGATGGTGTCCCCCCAGATCCTGGTGAGTGTCACGTCCTTGTTGGATGTTCTGTGGCCGTTTGGATCTTCTGTGAATCGCCTGTTGTGTGTTGTGACCCTGTTCTGTTGGGACGTTCAGCCCTCTCTTGCCAATCTATAGGAGCTCTGGATTTGTTATAGATATTGATCTTCTTTCTTCTGCTTGGAACATATTTATTCTTAATTCTCTTCTGTGCCAGTTTCTTTTATGAATGTATCATTTGCTGTCCAGGTTAACTCATTTGATGGTCGAACGTGTCTCTCTCTTCTCTTAGGGCTCGTGGGTACCAGCGTTTGTTAAGAAGATTACATGGGTTGTCTGGGGATTTTCTGGCAGGGGTTTTCTTGTTTTGTGTGTTTGAATTAAACTCTTGAACGTGTCTAGAATGTTTTTAACAGGAAATAATATGCTTGGGGTGGGGAGGACAATTTTGTTTCCTTCCAGTGTGCCAGCACTAATTAGTCAATAATCCGTCCTTTGACCAATGAATTGAACGACAGCTCTGTGGTCTGTTAGGGCCTCATGTAAACTGGGTTCCGTCTGGGGATCCTCCTTCCCACTCGCTGGCCCACTTGTCTCTTCACATGCCCACATCCCATCAGTAGCGGCTGCAGAGCACCTGCTGACAGCTGGGAGGAGTCCCCTTGCGTGCTCCGTGTGTGATGACGTGCTTTGTGAGCTGTGATGGCAGGAGCGCTCCTGCGTATGCCTGTATGTGTTTGCCTGTGTTTCTCCTTGTGACTACTGGGCAGAGCATGATAAGGGCGGGTACACTGTAGCTGTGCTGGAGGGGCAGCCAGGGAAGAGGCCGTGAAGGTGGTGAGGGAGGCCCAGGTGAAGCAGGAAAACAGAGACCACCAGGTGGACGCAGAATTATGTCTATGGTAGGTAGGTATAATTTCTAAAAGGCAAAGTGTCCAGGACAATAAATGTAAAGCAGGTTTATTATGTGGGGAGCAGTGAAAAGAGAACCCTTCGTGTCAGGGACCTGCCTACTGCTTGGATTTCCTTTGGGCATGAGTGCCCTGACTCTGCCCGTCGTGGGGGGATGCATGGGCATGCAGTGGGGTGAGCTGTTACTGCACCTTAGGCGTCTGTGCCTGGCCCAGGGCTGCCTGACCCTGGGCACCTCTGGCAGCTGGCACCTCACAGTCCCCAAATGCTCTCTGTGCCCCGTCTTCTATGGCACAGCTCTAGCAGGGCAGGGCACACCCATGCAGGGAGCCCAGGAGGTCAGGGCCTGCAGTTACCCACTGGTGACCTCAGCCCCACCCATGCTGTGGAGGGAGGGGAGAGAGTTTCAGGTGCTGGCCCATACAGGACTTACAACCAGGACAGGAGGCAGCTGGGTCCTGGCCACCAGCTCGGAGACAGGCATGGGGTGGGGTGCGGGTGAGGTGCTGCAGGGCCAGGGCTGTCCGCCACCCGCCTACCCCGGGCAGATCCTCCTCTGGCGGCGGCTGCTGGCCCGACCTGCTTCCCGGGTGGCTATTATGGGCGGGTGGAGTCCACGCCACGCTTTACTGGGAGGGCTCATTTTCTGTCAGACAGCTGAAGGCCCCACTCTGCAGGGACAACAGGACCGTGGTACACCCGCTTCGAGGTCAGTGAGAAGGTGGACAGGGCAGCCAGGCCCCATGGGAAGGTGGCTGGAGACTGGGCCCATGGGCATCCCGGTGGCCCTGATTAAGCTCCTTGTTTAGCCTACACACAACTTGTGGCTGGACTGTGTGTCCAGTTGAGCACTGGCATCTGTTCTTCTCCAGGGCACCTTGCGACCTGGCCTGCTTCCAGGGGGTAGTGTGGGTGGTCATAAGCCTGCCACTGACCGGGAAGTCTCACTCTGGAAGCTGTGGAGAAGTCCCTAGGGGATCTGATGGGGCTGAGCTCTGGGCTGTGA